CTCCTTTGTATTAATCACAAGAATTAATAGTAGCTGCAAATCAATTTGTCTTATTGATTTGACCTTGTCTGCACATAGATACAAATATCTAAAAAAAAAAATTAAAATTTGAAAGTAAATAAATAATAGATAATAATAAATAATTTAACCTAACATTTCCAGTTTTTACTAAAGTATATTTATTAATTTTGAAAGCATTTTTGGAAATTGATTCTTTATTTATAGTTATAAATTCTGCACCACATAGAATTATGTGAGATTCTTGCTAATTTTTAAGACAGGTTTTGAAATAACTACTTTCTGGTAATACAGGTACCTGCATTTTTCTATTAAAAAAAAGTTAGATTTTATAAATATTATTTGAAAGAAGATAGTATATAATGACAAAAAGAAAATTTTGTTATGCTAAGCCAAATAACAGTTAATTATTCTAAGATAGCACAAATAAAAAATTATTAAGCAAGTTATATAAGTATAATATTATAGGAGTTTGCAGAATGCAAAAATTTTTTCAGGCAGTAATCTGAGTTACATATAGATGCTATTGTGTTTTTAACAACAATAAGATTTTGATCCAAAGAATCATGAAAGGATTGTTCAAAAAATCATTCAGAAAGACTTCCAAATAAATCTATTTAATTTATTTTTGTTAAATTGGTGTATGATAGCAAATTTCTAATCCAAAGTAACTTAGTCTTTGCCTATTTTTTCTGCTTTATTAGATCAAAGACCTGAAGAAGAAGATAAGTATATAAATTTGAATCAGCTAATATAAAAGCAACAGCTTGGTTATAAATTCTTGGTGAGTAAAAATACTTTGAATAAGCATAAGACTTGTGTCTACTGGGCACATAGAGATTAAGTGTAACATGTCTTTTTTTACTCTATATGGTATTGTAAATGATGGCATTGCCATAAGAGTTTTTAGATAATAGTACAGATTATAAAGATATAATTTGTTTGTTTATCTAATATCAATTTATAAAGTATATTATTTAAAAAAAAAATAAAAATAAAATAAAAACTAAAATAAAATAAAAAATAAAATAAAAACTAAATCAAAATAAAAATAAAATAAAGTAAAAAATAAAATAAATAAAATTACAATCACATTACCTTTGATTTTTTTTTTGCTTCATCAACATACCCACTTATATCAAAGAGCTGAACTATATATCGATCTGTTTTACCATTCTCAAATGTAATATCTACAATGACTTTGCTCACACTAATAATTTCAACAATTTTTACTACATAGTAAGGTATATCTAAAACTTTATCCTAAAGTTGATTAGATTTTCCTGATACTAATTGGCTTTTTTCTTATTCTTTGAACCTCTTTTTCTAGATAGTTTAAGCTCATTCTTATTATAGCTATTAGTATCTTTTTGAAAAAGATAAGATTCAAGCGAACTACTTGCAACTAATTTAGCTGCAAACCTACTATATATAGAATATAGAAAAAAATATGTATAAGTATTATTAGATTAATTATACCATATATATTTAATTTCTTATTTATAGCATATTTTGGTAAAAAAAATTTAAACATTTAGCCAAAGTATTTTATTGTTTATGATTTAGTTAAGTTAGATAGAAATTTACAAATTTGAATAATAAAATGAACAAATATATAGTTAGATTTTTCTAAGTATACGGCTTGTATA